TTGTTATGCGAAATAATCGTTATGTGAATGAATTTTCCCCATAAGAAATAATGGAAATAAAATTAATCCGTGCAAGACCCCAAAAGTATGAAAAAAATATTTTTTTTTACCACATGAAATATTAATTTTAATACACACAACTGAAAAAGGCATGCACACTTACATGACACTTACTTTTATTGAAGATCTGGTGATGATTGATGGGATGGGAGGAGGGGAGAGCATTATCTTCTTACTGTTTAGAAGGGAATCCCCTTCCATTAGGACTTGAGGTAGCAAGTCCTTTTCTGGGGTTACTTCCCTTCTTCTTTTAATGCCACTAGGGCCAGCTTCAGAGTCACTGGACTTCTTTCGCACAAGATATCTGTCCATAGTGGCCTGTACCTCTCGTTCCTTTATCACTTCCCTAAAGTGTTTCACAACATTGTCAGTGTACAGGTTGCCAACACGGCTTGCAATAGCTGTGTGCTGTGTGAGGGTGATTTTCATCCATGAAGGTTTGCACTTCAAGCCACTTTGCACAGATTTCCTTTATCTTTGTAGTAGGCAACTTCTTCAATTTCTCTCTCCCCTCCTCTGAACCAGTTTCCCCCAGGTCTGGCCTCTTGCTCTTGAAGTTGATCTATAGCTCATCAGTGGTTAGTTCTTCATTGTCCTCCTCCACCAACTCTTCCACATCCTCCCCACTAACCTCCAACCCCAAGGACTTTCCCAATGCCACAATGGATTCCTCAACTGGCACAGGATTCTCAGGGTTAGCCTCAAACCCTTCAAAATCCCCTTTGTCTACACATTCTGGCCACAGTTTCTTCCAAGCAGAGTTCAAGGTCCTCTTAGTCACTTCCTCCCAAGCCTTACCTATAAGTTTACACAATTGAGGATATTAAAGTGATCTCTCCAAAACTCTCTTAGAGTCAGTTGAGTTTCTGAGGTCATTACAAAGCACCTTTCAAACAGAGCTTTTGTGTACAGTTTCTTGAAGTTGGAAATAACCTGCTGGTCCATGGGCTGCAGGAGAGGAGTGGTATTAGGAGGCAAAAACTTCACCTTAATGAAGCTCATGTCCCCATAAAGTCGCTCTGCCACGTCTGTAGGATGACCAGGGGCATTGTCTAACACCAGGAGGCACTTAAGTTCTAATTTCTTTTCAGTTAGGTAATCTTTGACATTGGGGCAAATGCATGGTGTAACCAGTTATAGAAAAATTCCCTAGTGACCCATGCCTTACTGTTTGCCCTCCACAGCACACACAAATTATCCTTGAGGACATTCTTTTGCCTGAACGCTCTGGGAGTTTCAGAGTGATACACTAATAAAGGCTTCACTTTGCAATCACCAGTAGCATTGGCACACATGAGAAGAGTAGCCTGTCTTTCATAGGCTTATGTCCTGGGAGTGCCTTTTCCTCCTGAGTAATGTAGGTCCTGCTTGGCATTTTCTTCCAGAACAGGCCTGTTTCATCACAATTAAACACTTGTTCAGGTTTCAGTCCTTCAGTTTCTATGTACTCCTTGAATTCCTGCACATATTTTTCAGCCGCTTTGTGGTCCGAACTGGCAGCCTCACCATGCCTTATCACACTATGGATGCCACTACGCTTCTTAAATCTCTCAAACCAACCTTTGCTGGCCTTAAATTCACTCACATCATCACTAGTTGCAGGCATTTTTTTAATTAAATCGTCATGCAACTTCCTAGCCTTTTCACATATGATCGCTTGAGAGACGCTATCTCCTGCTAGCTGTTTTTCATTTATCCACACCAATAAGAGTCTCTCAACATCTTCCATCACTTGCGATCTTTGTTTCGAAAACACAGTTAAACCTTTGCAAGAACAGCTTCCTTGATTGTCTTTTTTGGTGCCCACAATAGTAGCGATGGTTGATTGGGGTTTCTTGTACAACTTGACTAGGTCGCGATACGCACTCCACTTTCATACTTATCAATGATCTCTTTCTTCATTTCAATGGGTATTCTTACCCTTATTGGTGTACGGTTGGCACTAGAAGCTTTTTGGGGCCCATGGTCACTTATTTTCCAGAAACAGCACCGAAAACACTGTAATAATACGAAATATTCCGAGTGTATGCTTGGATGTTAGCGCGGAGGCTGGCTGGTAAACAATGGCACGGGCGGCACATGTGAGGCTGGCTGAGGGCGCACATTGGACGCGTCTCGGACGAAAATCGGTGAGCGGGTTTTTAATCAGTATGCGCGGCAAAAATTTTGCGATTAAAGTAAGCGGTATGCGAAATAATCGCTATGTGATGCCATCGTTATGCGGGGGTCCACTGTATTATGTTTCCAAGAAAAGATGTTTGATCTATCTAAAGTTTCTAAATGATGCTAATGTAAACTGCCACTGCTCTGTGGGCCTGCCTTTCAAAAACTGTCATAAGATAAAGAGGGTATATAAATCTGGGCTGATTGGAAAAGATGTAGGGTACATTAAAAGAAGAGTTAGAACAAGGGGCGTGATGGAGCATTTAACAGGCATGTGATTACCTCTTCATCATTACCCATTTGTAGCTGTAGGAGCAAAATTAATCTAATGGCAGTTAATCTTCAGTATTTAGTAATAATATTTATTTAAAAAACCTTACAGACATAGCCAAATAACATTATCATGTGTCCCATATTTCTCGTATAGGTGGTTGTCAAAAAACAAAACAAACACACACACACACACACACACACACACACACACACACACACACACACACACACACTCACACCACACTCACACTCACACTAACTCACACTCACACTCACACTCACACTCACCTCTCTCTCTCTCTCTCTCTCTCTCTCTCTCTCTCTCTCTCTCTCTCTCTCTCTCTCTCTCTCTCTCTCTTCTCTCTCTCTCTCTCTTCTCTCTCTCTCTCTCTCTCCTCTGTCTCTCTCTCTCTCTCTCTCTCTGTCTCTTCTCTCTCTGTCTCTCTCTCTCTCTGTCTCTCTCTCTCTCTCTCTCTCTCTCTCTCTCCTCTCTCCTCTCTCTCTTCTCTCTCTCTCTCTCTCTCTCTCTCTCTCTCTCTCTTCTCTCTTCTCTCTTCTCTCTCTTGTCCTCTCTCTCTCTCTGTCTCTCTCTCTCTCTGTCCTCTCTCTCTCTCTGTCTCCTCTCTCTCTCTGCTCTCTCTCTCTCTCGTCTCTCTCCTCCCCCCTCTGTCTCTCTGTCTCTCTCTGTCTCTCTCTCTCTCTCTCTCTCTCTTCTCTCTCTCTCTCTCTCACTCTCTCTCTCTCTCTCTCTCTCTCTCTCCTCTCTCTCTCTCTCTCTCTCTCTCTCTCTCTCTCCTCTCTCTCTCTCCCTCTCTTCTCTCTCTCTCCTCCCTCTCTCTCTCTCTCTCCTCTCTCTCTCTCCTCTCTCTCTCCTCTCTCTCTCTCTCTCTCTCTCTTCTCTCTCTCTCTCCTCTCTCTCTACTTCTCTCTCTCTCACTCACTCTCTCACTCACTCACCCTACCTACCTACCTAATGGGTTCAGGGACTGTGCCCCAACATTTTATTAGCTAACCATCAGTAATTGTGTCTTGAAATTTTGGCAGGCATATTTGTTTAGAAATTTTTGAGCATAAATACATTTCATTTATTTCATGTAATTTGTTGTTAAGATTGTATGATTTTAGCTGACATAGCACTTTCTGAAACTCATCTTCTGCACACGTTGAGAGACTGGTGTAGAATTTCAATATCATACAGTAATGATGTACCAATTAAAGTGGTGAACAAGACCTAAAAAGAATTACTGAAAGCCTTTTGCCTTCAGTATTTGTTATTACAGAAAATAAAAGAATACTGTAGTGATAAGCACAATCACTAGTACTAAATATAATACTGTACCAATTAGTTACCAGCTAGAAATGTTGACAGTTGATTCTCATTTTCTGTGAGGGCTAAATTGGTGGAGGTAATGTGAATCTTGAAGCTATAAAAAATAGGAAATTTTATATTGTATTGTTATTTAGTTGGTTACATATTTGAATGCTAAATTTATATCATCTGAAGATAAGATTATTACATATAATGATTATTTTATGTAATAAAACTCGGTACACTGAGAGAAAACACAATAAGTGTCAGGGGCCTCAGGCTATCAAGAGCCACCCATACATATGGGGGATGACAAATAGACCCCTATCTGTCTTCAAAAGAACTGGACAGATTTCTAAAGTCAGTGCCTGACCAACCAGGCTGTAGTTCATACATTGGATTGTGTGTGGCCGGTAGTAACAGCCTGGTTGATCAGTCCCTGATCCAATGTGGGGCCTGGTCATGGACTAGGCTGCAGAGGTGTTGACCCACAGAACAATCTCCAGGTAGAAACTACATCACATGGGATGTATAATGGGTGAAGGGAGCATGCGATGGTAGCAACAGCATGCACCCTAACATCACTCATGTCCCTTCACTCAGACCTTCACTCACCCTTCTTCACCCAGTACCTTGTCCTCACTCACTAGCCTGCATGCTTCCAACCACTAGTTTGCACATTCCCACCCACTAACAGTGACTAACCCATAAGACAATGGACTTATCCTGAGGCTCACTGTGAGATGGAGGGAAAAGACTGTGACACATGCCAAATTTTTCCTCTACATTTACACCACCATGTAAACTGATTTTTATGGCATGTACACCAAAAATATGCCACAATTTTGCAAAATGTGTTAACAGATTGTGTATTATCTGACAGTGCTCAATAAAGATTTTTTTACCAGAACATTGAATAGGGAGGAAGACTGTTGAAGGGGCTTTGACCACATAATCTTGTATTAGCTATTGGATATACTATGCTGTGTCTTGCTAGCATCTTATGATATTTTCAACAGATTATGCAAATTAATGTTTGAAATAATAATGAGCATTTTCTATGTTTTACTCTTTAGTACAATTTTGTTATTCAGGTATATATCATAATATAAAATAAGGATGAGTATCATCAGCTTTCAGAATGTCTCAAAAATATTGTTAATTGAAATTATAAAATAAAACTCCTTTTTCCTAGGGAATGTGGTACAGACGAACTAGAAACCAGTCAGCTTCCACTGGTGATACGAGAACGAGATGTTGAGTACCAATTCCATCGTCTTCTTATTTTTGAGAGATTATTACAGGTAAGCATGTAGAAGAGACCAGGCATAAACTAAATCTTACATATTTAGCATATGTTTATTCCTTTGCGACTCTTCAAGGAATAAGGATTCATTGATGCCAGTGAAAGGCTCATGATCCAAGGAATTGGAGTGATTATCCCATTTTTTGGATCAAACTTTATTGTCCCTCGTTACCCAGATGCTGCATAACCCTCTTGGGTTTAGTGCTTCCTTATGAATCTGAATCTATTTTATAGTAATGTTGATATGTACTTACATTTTGCATATGTATATGTATAACTATTCACCTGAAAAAGCAGCACACTGTGCTGCTTAGTGAAGAATGCCAGGTTACCCTGACAGCCTAGTATATCTTGACCAGTTGCTCTGTTCATCAAAGAGTATGACTCATAGAATTGACGAGGGAAAAAGGTGAGTGGCTCACTGAGGAGTCTGTGGAGACAAAGAACGTTATCCATGGAAGCAAAGAGGGGAATGTATGAAAGTATAGTTATACCAATGCTCTTATATGGGTATAAAGCATGGGTGGTGAATGTTGCAACAAGGAGAAGGCTGGAGGCAGTGGAGATGTCATGTCTGAGGGCAATGTGTGGTACGAATATAATGCAGAGAATCCATAGTTTGGAGATTAGGATGAGGTACGAGATTACCAAAACTATTATCCAGAGGGCTGAGGAGGGATTATTGAGTTGGCTTGGACATGTAAAGAGGATGGAACAAAATAGAATGACTTCGAGTGTATAAATCTGTAATGGAGGGAAGGTGGGGTAAGAGTCGGCCTAGGAAAGGTTGGAGGGAGGGGGTAAAGGAGGTTGTGTGTGAGGGGCTTGGACTTCAGCAACTATGCATGAATGTGCTAGATACAAGCAAATGGAGACAAATGGTTTTTAGGACTTGACATGTTATTGGAATGTGAGCAAGGCAACATGAAAGGATTCAGGGAAACCAGCATGCTGGACTTCAGTCCTGGAGATGGGAAGTGCCTACACTCTGAAGGAGGGGTGTTAATGTGGCAGTTTTATAACTATAGTGTAAGCATGCCTCTGGCAAGACAGTGATGGAGTGAATGATGATGAAAGTTTCTTTTTTTTTGGGAGGCCACCCTGCCTTGGTGGGAAATGGCTGATGTGTTAATAATTTTTTTTTTTTTTCCAACAAGTCGGCCGTCGCCCACTGAGGCAGGGTGACCCAAAAAGAAAGAAAATCCCCAAAAAGAAAATACTTTCATCATCATTCAACACTTTCACCTCACTCACACATAATCACTGTTTTTGCAGAGGCGCCCAGGATACAGCAGTTTAGAAGTATATGCGTATAAAAATACACAATATATCCCTCCAAACTGCCAGTATCCCAAACCCCTCCTTTAGAGTGCAGGCATTGTACTTCCTATTTCCAGGACTCGAGTCCGGTTATATAAAATAACCGGATTCCCTGAATCCCTTCACTAAATATTACCCTGCTCACACTCCAAAAGCTCGTCAGGTCCCAAATACCATTTGTCTCCATTCACTCCTATCTAACATGCTCACGCACACTTGCTTGAAGTCCAAGCCCCTCGCCCACAACACCACCTTTACCCCCTCCCTCCAACTTTTTCGAGAACGACCCCTACTCTGCCTTCCTTCCCCTACAGATTTATACTCTTTCCATGTCATTCTACTTTGATCCATTCTCTCTAAATGACCAAACCACCTCAACAAACCCTCTTCAGCCCACTGACTAATACTTTTATTAACTCCACACCTCCTAATTTCCACACTCCGAATTTTCTGCATATTTACACCACACATTGCCCTTAGACAGGACATCTCCACTGCCACCAACCGCCTCCTCGCTGCAGCATTTACAACCCAAGCTTCACACCCATATAAGAGTGTTGGTACTACTATACTTTCATATATTCCCTTCTTTGCCTCCATAGATAACATTTTTTGCCTCCACATGTACCTCAATGCACCACTCACCTTTTTTCCTTCATCAATTCTATGATTAACCTCATCCTTCATAAATCCATCCGCTGACACATCAACTCCCAAATATCTGAAAACATTCACTTTTTCCATACTCCTCCTCCCCAATTTGATATCCAATTTTTCTTTATCTAAATCATTTGATACTCTCATCACCTTACTCTTTTCTATGTTCACTTTCAACTTTTTACCTTTACACACACTCCCAAATTCGTCCACTAACCTTTGCACAGTATCATCAGCAAAAAGTAACTGTGTCAATTCCCATTTTGTATTTACTTCCCCATAATTTAATCCCACCCCTCTCCCGAACACCCTAGCATTTACTTCTTTTACAACCCCATCTGTAAATATATTAAACAACCATGGTGACATTACACATCCCTGTCTAAGGCCTACTTTTACCGGGAAGTAGTCTCCCTCACTTCTACACACACTAACCTGAGCCTCACTATCCTCATAAAAACTCTTTACAGTATTTAATAACTTACCACCTAGTCCATATACTTGCAACATCTGCCACATTGCTTCCCTATCCACTCTATCATATTTTTTTATTATTATTATTATCACACTGGCCGATTCCCACCAAGGCAGGGTGGCCCGAAAAAGAAAAACTTTCACCATCATTCACTCCATCACTGTCTTGCCAGAAGGGTGCTTTGCACTACAGTTTTTAAACTGCAACATTAACACCCCTCCTTCAGAGTGCAGGCACTGTACTTCCCATCTCCAGGACTCAAGTCCGGCCTGCCGGTTTCCCTGAACCCCTTCATAAATGTTACTTTGCTCACACTCCAACAGCACGTCATCCCAGTTTTATAAAGTTTTTCTTCTTCTCTTTTTTAGTAAATGTCTACAGGAGAAGGGGTTACTAGCCCATTGCTCCCGGCATTTTAGTCGCCTCATACGACACGCATGGCTTACAGAGGAAAGATTCTTTTCCACTTCCCCATGGACAATAGAAGAAATAAAGAGGAACAAGAGCTATTTAGAAAAAGGAGAAAAACCTAGATGTATGTATATATATATGCATGTGCGTGTCTGTGAAGTGTGACCAAAGTGTAAGTAGGAGTAGCAAGATATCCCTGTTATCTAACGTGTTTATGAGACAGAAAAAGAAACCAGCAATCCTACCATCATGCAAAACAGTTACAGGTTTCTGCTTCACAGTCATCTGGCAGGACGGTAGTACTTCCCTGGGTGGTTGCTGTCTACCAACCTACTACCTATATGCCTTTTCTAAATCCATAAATGCAATAAAAACTTCCCTACCTTTATCTAAATACTGCTCACATATATGCTTCAATGTAAACACTTGATCTACACACCCCCTACCCACTCTAAAACTTCCTTGCTCATCCGCAATTCTACATTCTGTCGTACCTCTAATTCTTTCAATAATAACCCTACCATACACTTTTCCTGGTATACTCAGTAAACTTATTCCTCTATAATTTTTGCAGTCTCTTTTGTCCGACTTCCCTTTATATAAAGGGACTATACACACTCTCCACCAATCCCTAGGTACCTTCCCTTCTTTCATACATTTATTAAACAAGAATACCAACCTCTCCAACAATGTGTCCTCCCCAGCTTTTAACATTTCTGTCATGATCCCATCAGTTCCAGCTGCTTTGCCCCCTTTCATTCTACGTAATGCCTCCCGCACCTCCCGCACACTCACATCCTGCTCTTCACTCCTAAAAAATGGTATACCTCCCTGGCCAGTGCATGAAATTACCGCCTCCCTTTCTTCATCGACATTTAAAAGTTCCTCAAAATATTTTCGCCATCTACCCAAAACCTCCATCTCCCCATCTACTAACTCCCCTACTCTGTTTTTAACTGACAAATCCATTTGTTCCCTAGGCTTTAACTTGTTTAACTCCAAAATTTTTTCATATTTTCATTAAAATTTCTTGACAGTACCTCACCCACTCTATCATCTGCTTTTCTTTTGCTCTCTCTCTCACCATTCTCTTCACTTTTCTTTTACTCTCCATATACTCTGCTCTTCTTATAACACTTCTGCTTTGTAAATACCTCTCATAAGCTACCTTTTTCTCTTTTATCACACTCTTTACTTCATCATTCCACCAATCACTCCTTTTTCCTCCTGCACCCACCCTCCTATGACCACAAACTTCTGCCCCCACAATCTAATATTGCATTTTTAAAACTATTCCAACCCTCTTCAACCCCTCCACTACTCATACTGCACCAGCCCACCTTTCTGCCAATAGTTGCTTATATTTCACCTGAACTTCCTCCTCAGTTGTACACTTCCACCTCCCTCTTACTTGTTGTTGCCATTTTCCTCTTATCCCATCTACCTCTTACTTCAACTGTAGCTACAACTAGATAATGATCTGATATATCAGTTGCCCCTCTATAAATGTGTACATCCTGGAGCCTACCCATCAACCTTTTAGCCACCAATACATAATCTAACAAACTACTTTTATTACGTGCTACATCATACCTTGTATATTTATTTATCCTCTTTTTCATAAAATATGTATTACTTATTACCAAACCTCTTTCTACACATAGCTCAATTAAAGGCTCCCCATTTTCATTTACACCTGGCACCCAAAATTTACCTACTACTCCCTCCACAACATTTTTACCCACTTTAGCATTAAAATCCCCATTTTTTTTTTTTATTACCACAAGTACTCTCACACTTGGTTCAAAACTCTCCACGCATTCACTCAACATTTCCCAAAATCTCTCTCTCTCCTCTATACTTCTCTCTTCCCCAGGTGCATATACACTTACTGTAACCCACTTCTCACATCCAACCTTTATTTTACTCCACATAATCCTTGAATTAATACATTTATAATCCCTCTTTTCCTTCCATAGCTTATCCTTCAACATTATTGCTACCCCTTCTTTAGCTCTAACTTGATTAGAAACCCCTCACCTAATCCCATTTATTCCTCTCCACTGAAACTCACCCACCCCCTTCAGCTTTGTTTCACTTAAAGCCAGGACATCCAGCTTCTTCTCATTCATAACATCCACAATCATCTCTTTCTTATCATTCACACAACATCCATGCACATTCAGACTTCCCACTTTGACAATTTTCTTCTTCTTATCCTTTTTAGTAATTATTACAGGAAAAGGGGTTACGAGCCCATTGTTCCTGACATTTTAGTTGACTTTTACAGCATGCATGGCTTACGGAGGAAAAATTTTATTCCACTTCCCCATGGATATTAAAGGAAAAGTAATTAGAACAAGAACTAAGATAAAATTAAAGAAAACTCAGATGAGTGTGTATAAATAAACATGTACATGTATGTTTAGTGTGACCCAAGTGTAAGTAGAAGTAGCAAGACGTACCTGTAATCTTGCATATTTATGAGACAGACAAAAGACACCAGCATTCCTACCATCATGTAAAACAATTACAGGCTTTTGTTTTACACTTACTTGGCAGAACGGTAGTACCTCCCTGGGTGGTTGCCCTGACATCCTTACTTCGTCCACCCTCCACTCTGACAGTCCCATCTTAGATGCAGACATGCTTGCTTTGTTAACTGACACTAGTTGCTGAAGTGTGCCTGAAATACATTACGTAACTGGGATTTTTCGTGTAAGAAATAAATGCTGCTAATCTTCCTCTGTAACTAATATATATTCTTGAAAAATAAATATTTGTAATTATAACCACCAGCCTTTCTGCTGATGATGTACCCTCTTCATCTCCACCTCTTTCCCCTTCTTCTCTTTACCTACTATAGAGCTTTGGACAACCCCTTACTCGCTTGGCATTTTTTCACGAATGCAGTGAAAATTAGCTGAATGAACAACCTTGCATAATCCCAAGCACAACCCCCCCCCCATCCTCAATGCATAAAGTGGAGAACCACCAATAACAGGGACTAGAGATTGATTTTACTTAGACTTTCACAAACAATAAAAGAGTGAGCAAGTATGCATGTGTTTCTAGTGTGACATCAAAACATTGTTATGGATATTAAGTTCAATGACTTATACATGTACTCTGTTTTAATTTTCCCATATTTCAGTCATACCCATTCAAAGCAGAAAGTATCCTGCGAGAAGCCAGAAAGGACACTCTTCCATTCTACCGAGCACTGGTGTGGGCCTCACTTCTTGGTGTTGATGGTGCTGTAGCGCATACTTACCAACAAATTGACAAGGAAACTCCTACGCCAACAGACAGACAGGTACATAATAACAGATATATTTTTTAGATTTTTTATTTCTTAGCCATATTTCTCCAAGGTAGGGTGACCCAAAGAAGACATCACATTGACCATCACTTAGCCAATCTCAGCTTTACCAGAAGTGCAGGGACATAATTTTAAAATTCAGATGGCATGCTGCATATCAATCCCAACCCATCCTCTACAGTGCAGGTACTGTACTATACATTATACCTCCCAGACTGAAAGTCCAGCTAGCAGATTTTCCCTGAATCCTTCATAATGTTACTTTGTTCTCACCCCAAAAACATGTCAAGTAATAAAAGCCACTCATCTCTCTCAAATTGTTCACTTCATTCACTTGTTCCAAAACCTTTACCAAAATTTTTTTTTTTTAAACTTTATTGTTTTTCTGTAATTTTCTTTATATATATTATAATTTTGAAACTTGTTATTCTTTTTGTTTTCCCTTAGTATATGTCCGTGTTTCACTTCGTATATCAAAATTACATAAGTGGACTACATGAGCATACATGTATATATTTAAAACTTGTATACATGTGTATATATTTAAAACTTGTATATATATTTAAAGCTTGTATATATATTTAAAACTTGTATATATATTTAAAACTTGTATATATTTAAAAACAAATCACTTCCCTTCAGTTGAAAACTTTGCTTTATGTTAGTTTTGATGAATAGCAACCTAGTTAGAGCACCTATGCATGCAGTGACATACTAAGCGAACATATGTGTGGAATAGTCCTGGAGATGGGAAGTACAGTGCCTGCACTCTGAAGGAGGGGTGTTGAATGTTGCAGTATTATAATTGTAGTGTAAGCACGCCTCTGGCAAGATAGTGATAGAGTGAATGATGGTGAAAGTTTTTCTTCTTCGGGCCACCCTACCTTGGTAGGAAACAGCTTATGTGCTAATAAAATAAAATACTTGGAAAAGCAGACAATTCCTCTATTAGTAAATTTTAATAAATGTTAATTTGTTTCTCAAAGACAGTTTAAAGAGGGCGTAATTTGTGTGTGTGTGAGACTACCTGCCCGCCTGATTGCCTGCCTGCCTGCTTGCCAGATTGCCTGCTTGCCTGATTGCCTGATTGCCTGCTTGCCTGCCTGCCTGCCTGATTGCTTGCCTGCCTGCCTGATTGCTTGCCTGCCTGCCTGATTGCTTGCCTGCCTGCCTGCCTGCCAGCCTGCCAGCCAGCCTGCCTGCCTGCCTGCCAGCCAGCCTGCCTGCCTGCCTGCCACAGCCTGCCTCCCTGCCAGCCAGCCAGCCAGCCAGCCAGCCAGCCAGCCAGCCAGCCAGCCAGCCAGCCAGCCAGCCAGCCAGCCAGCCAGCCAGCCAGCCAGCCAGCCAGCCAGGCCAGCCAAGCCAGCCCGCCAGCCCGCCAGCCAGCCAGCCAGCCAGCAGCCAGCCAGCCAGCGCCAGCCAGCAGCAGCCAGCCAGCCAGCCAGCCAGCCAGCCAGCCAGCCAGCCAGCCAGCCAGCCAGCCCAGCCAGCCAGCCAGCCAGCCAGCCAGCCAGCCAGCCAGCCAGCCAGCCAGCCAGCCAGCCAGCCAGCCAGCCAGCCAGCCAGCCAGCCAGCCAGCCAGCCAGCCAGCCAGCCAGCCAGCCAGCCAGCCAGCCAGCCAGCCAGCCAGCAGCCAGCCAGCCAGCCAGCCAGCCGCCAGCCAGCCAGCCAGCCAGCCAGCCAGCCAGCCAGCCAGCCAGCCCAGCCAGCCAGCAGCCAGCCAGCCAGCCAGCCAGCCAGCCAGCAAGCCAGCAGCCAGCCAGCCAGCCAGCCAGCCAGCCAGCCAGCCAGCCAGCCAGCCAGCCAGCCCAGCCAGCCAGCACCAGCCAGCCAGCCAGCCAGCCAGCCAGCCAGCCAGCCAGCCAGCCAGCCAGCCAGCCAGCCAGCCCAGCCAGCCAGCCAGCCAGCCAGCCAGCCAGCCAGCCAGCCCAGCCAGCCAGCCAGCCCAGCCAGCCAGCCAGCCAGCCAGCCAGCCAGCCAGCCAGCCAGCCAGCCAGCCAGCCAGCCAGCCAGCCAGCCGCCAGCCAGCCAGCCAGCCAGCCAGCCAGCCAGCCAGCCAGCCAGCCAGCCAGCCAGCCAGCCAGCCAGCCAGCACAGCCAGCCAGCCAGCCAGCCAGCCAGCCAGCCAGCCAGCCAGCAGCAGCCAGCCAGCCAGCCAGCCAGCCAGCCAGCCAGCCAGCCAGCCAGCCAGCCAGCCAGCCAGCCAGCCAGCCACAGCCAGCCAGCCAGCCAGCCAGCCAGCCAGCCAGCCAGCCAGCCAGCCGCCAGCCAGCCACCAGCCAGCCCAGCCAGCCAGCCAGCCAGCAGCCACAGCCAGCCGCAGCCAGCCAGCCAGCCAGCCAGCCAGCCAGCCAGCCCAGCCAGCCACAGCAGCCAGCCAGCCAGCCAGCAGCCAGCCACAGCAGCCAGCCAGCCAGCCACCAGCCAGCCAGCCAGCCGCCCCCCAGCCAGCCAGCCAGCCAGCCAGCCAGCCAGCCAGCCAGCCAGCCAGCCAGCCAGCCAGCCAGCCAGCCAGCCAGCCAGCCAGCCAGCCAGCCAGCCAGCCAGCCAGCCAGCCAGCCAGCCAGCCAGTTTGTTTGTTTGTTTGTTTGTTTGTTTGTTTTGCTTAGAAAAAAGTTCTTTAAGTGGAAACAAATATATGATGCAGTTATGGATTTATAGAAGTGAATTATAGGAAGGTTTGCATGCTATGTAGAGTGTGTTGTGAAGTACTTGCATGTGAGATTAATATCAGTGAGTGTATGATGAGAAAGAACTGGTTGCACCTGGGCTTTTCAGTATCATTGTGGCTACATTACATTTTTATGGTTGTGTTGATAGATGTGAATGTGGAGTGGATTGATTGTAGTAGACCCACGAGGGATACTGGAATAGAATTAACCTTATCGCAGTATCTTTCTGAAAATAATACAAATTTGTTTGATGAATTACAAGAGCTAGGTAAGATGAAGAGAATTTATAGCTAATAATAAAATTGTAACAAAAAGAGATGTAAACTGTTGACCTTCTAACAGATTGAGGTGGATATTCCACGATGCCACCAGTACGATGAATTGCTATCATCACCACAGGGACATGTTAAGTTTACACGTGTTCTGAAGGCCTGGGTAGTGTCGCATCCTCATTTGGTGTATTGGCAAGGACTGGATTCTCTTTGTGCACCATTTCTTTACCTCAACTTTAACAATGAAGGTCAGGCCTTTAGATTATTTGAAAGGTAGTTACAACAGATCATAATCTTATTTTTTAAGTCTACATAGGTAATATGGTGAATGAATTTTTATTTAGTGTAAAGATTAAAAAGCTCATAGTTATGCACAGCAATAACAATAACTTAGAGGTATAGAATTATTTTGCTGTTAATTTTTAACCAACTATATTTAAAATAAATTATACCATGATGTAAGGAAAAACATTTTTATATGAACCTTTATTAGTAATCTGCTGTTTCTCCTTTGATAGCTCTGGCATACGCCTGTTTGTCCAAGTTTATCGACAAGTACCTGCACAAGTTTTTCTTGAGGGACAACAGTGCTGTGATACAAGAATACCTGGCCAAGTTTTCCCATATGATCGCTTTCCATGATCCACAACTTTTTAACCATCTGGATAACATTGGCTTCATTCCTGAGTTGTATGCCATTCCATGGTTTCTCACTATGTACACACGTAAGACATCATTAATGTTGTACATTTTTATTTATTTCTAAGCTGTCATATCTGAGCGCCTCTGCAGAGGCAGTGATTATGTGTGAGTGAGGTGAGAGTGTTGGGGTCAGTCTGCCTCGGTGGGAGACAGCCAACTTGTTGAAAGAAAAAAATATTATTTATTTTACAAAGATTCAAGATGCAGATTTTCATAAGTAATATTTTTGTAGAGTATCTTTGATGACCTAGTAGCAGCACATCCAGCACATTTTTGCACTTCCACTCACCTCTTTGTACCCCAGTAAGGGCTATCTCACACTTCTCATATTTCTCACTTACTGTGTCCAGAGCTCTGCAGCAGCCAGCATGATGCTTGAATCACCAGTTGGCAACTTCTGGGGAACTCTGTACATTGAAAGTGAGGGGTGAGACCACTGCCAGAAAGTTGTTTAATGTTAGGAATACAGACAAGCAATGTGTCAGTAGATGGATGAGTGTGAAGGGCCATGGAACAGTTGTTGGATTCAGGAGGAATGAAAATAGTATGCCAAGGTTTCTGAGACTCATCACTTGGTGCTAAAGCTTATATCTACTTTGTGAGATAGCCTGCCAGCTGTACTATGAATAGAAGATAACTAATTTATTATTAGCCTTTATGATAGTATGTTCACTCACAGGATAAGTTTGACTGCTCAATAAATTATCCCTTCTGGGCCAAATCTTAGTGTCATGACCAAAAATATTTTTTGATAAATTAAGGACACTATAATGTATAGTAAGTTACCTGTAATTCAACCACCTTGCGGAGATGATCAGCCCCCTGGAAGTTGGTTGATTAACTTTACAATTCATGGAATGACTACAGTTAATTTTTTCTACAGATGTTTTTCCACTGCAAAAGATCTTCCTGTTATGGGATACTCTTCTATTAGGAGAAGCATCACTGCCATTATGCATAGGTGTGGCACTTCTGCAGCAGTTGAAAGATAGACTACTTCAGTTTGGATTCAATGAATGCATCCTTCTCTTTTCTGATATGCCAGGTAAGCTATCTTTTTTTTTATCTTCAAGGATAATTTTTCTACACTTTTGTGATTACAGTCACTCATATTCAACTTGTGCTGCATTCTTCTTACAGCCTACCTAATATATAGGCTGAAAGGATGCTTTAGTGTTTTTCTTTTCAAACAACAGTAGACCAGTGGAATAGTTTCCAAGGGAAGGCATTTAGTACTCTCACCACTGAAAACTTTAAAATGCTTGATAATAGACTAAATACTAAATGTAGGGCACCATGAGTGTAGCTTTATTCTTGTAATTACAAAAAGGTAATCACAAATAGGTAAACATTGTACTTTTATTCATTTATAATTTTTACCTCATAAAATGGTATGAGTATAGTAGTTATTTTGCATTATAACTATAATATCATTTATTTCTTTGATGATATTTTTTCTAAGTGTGCTTAGTAATTTTGAAGGCTTCATGCTCTGCCATAAAAATACCGTGACGTGTTGAAAAAACTCTTGATGAAGCTAATGAAACATTTGTTAAATAATTCTACATGCTCGATTTTTTTTTTTTTTTTTTTTTTTTTTTTTTTTTTTTTTTTTTTTTTTTTTTTTTTTTTGAACATGTTAGCCATTTTCCACTGACACAGAAAAAGAAAAGAAAGAAAAATCTTTCATCATCTTTCAACACTTTCACCATCATTCATACGTAATCACTGTCTTTGCAGAGGTGCTCATATACGACAGCTTAAACATCCTTCTAAATTGCCAATATCTCAAACCCCTCCTTTAAAGTGCAGGCATTGTACTTCCCATTTCTGGGACGCAAGTCCAGCTAACCGGTTTCCCTGAATCCCTTCACCAAACATTACCCTGCTCACACTCCAACAGCTCGTCAGGTCCCAAAAACCATTCGTCTCCATTCACGCCTATCTAACATGCTCACACACACCTGCTGGAAGTCTAAGCTCCTCTCTCATAGAATATCCTTTACCCCCTCCCTCCAACCTTTTCGGAGACGACCCCCTACCCTGCCTTCCTTCCCCAACAGATTTATGCGCTCTCCAAGTTATTCTACTTTGTTCCATTCTCTCTAAATGACCAAACCACCTCAACAGCCCCTCTTCAGCTCTCTGACTAATACTTTTAGTAACTCCACACCTCCTGATTTCCACACTACAAATTCTCTGCATAATATTTACATCACACATTGCCCTTAGACACGACATCTCCAGTGCCTCCAGCCGCCTTCTCGTTGCAGCATTTACAACCCATGCTTCACATCCATATAAGAGTGTTGGTACCACTATACTTTCGTACATTCCCTTTTTTGCCTCCATGGATAACATTTTTTGTCTCCACAGATACCTCAATGCACCACTCACCTTTTTTTCTTCATCAGTTCTATGGTTAACATCATCCTTCATAAACCCATCTGCTGACAAGTTAACTCCCAATTACAGTATCTGAAAAGATTCACTTCTTCCATACTCCCTTCCTCCAATGTGATATCCAAATTTTATTTATTTAAATCATTTGCTACCCTCATCACCTTACTCTTATCTGTGTTCACTTTCAATTTTCTACCTTTTTACACCCTCCAGAAGTTGTAGTCACTAAATATTGTGGGGTCCCATATGCACCCTTCAGATGAATATTTTTTCTGTGTATGGTTTCTGATGAACCATTAGAAATAACTTCACCGAATAACTCCTAAATCACCAGTTTTAGGACCTTACCATGATTTAACTTAGTAGTCTCCCTTCTGCCTTTTTTACTATTGGTGGTTCCAGTATTGTACTTCATTATTGCTGTATTCTTATACTCAGGTAAGGGTTATACAGCACCTGGGAAATAGAAGGGTTATGGGTAATTAGGCTTGATAAAGGAAGGGAAGGGTAGATCTAATTCCTTGGATCATCAACACTTGCAGGGTCAGTTCTATCTACAAGTCTCTCCAGATTAGAGAAAGGGTTATAGCCAAGCTGTTAATAGGACAGTATGGATCTTTTGTGTGTTAGAATTAGTTGTTCAAGGTACTTTCATAGATAAGAATATTATAGTGACTGGAAACATTACTAAGTGCAGTAGAAATGTTTTTGCACTTACGAGATTGTAATGTGACCAGTCAGAAGGATTTATTAATGTTAACAACCATAAAAATGACCACTCCTTTCTCTTATCAACATGCCTGTTCAGATTAAGAGGCAAAAGTCTTTGCAGTATGCTAACAGAAAATTCCATCAAGTTTTCTACATTCAGACTTAGATTGTGGAAAATATAGTACTTTACAAGCCTTTAGAACCTTAACAACTTTCAAGCCCCCCAAGTTTTAAGATAACCACAGTTTTGTTAAACTGAAAGTGGCAAGTAAGGAAAAGAAACAGATTTGTTTTCGTATTCAAAATCCTTGAGTTAAAAAGATCTGAACTCATATGCCTTTAGGGTTTTATTTCACATAATTCAGGAATTATTTCTTAATTTAAATTCATTGAAAATGAGTGCTTTAGGTACTGCTGTGATACAGTATGCTATTCACACACTTGGCTCTGCTCCCTTCACAGATATTGACATGGAACGTGTTGTACGTGAATCAGTACAAGTATTTTGTTCTACACCTCCGTCTGTCACGTATCGTCAGCATGAGCGACCCAAACCAGACCCAAGCAAACGTAGCTCACCTTCACCACACCTTAGTCAAGCCAGTCAAGACTTGGTAAGTTTTGTGTTATGTTCTGCCATACTGTAATTCACCAGACAGTAAACATTTAGCTATTTTTTTTTTTATCAAAGATTTCAGTTTGCAAATTAATTCTTAGATGAACTATTGTTATTGCTTATTCATTGCCTTTTGACTATTAATATTAACTTAATTTTGCTTCCTTTTACATGAACAGTACAGTAAATATTTTTACAAAAATTTATGTGCAAAATTGTTTTTAATGAACAATTCTGTTGTATTTTAGCAGTGTACATGACTCCAGTTCCATATTATGTACAGGTAATGGATGCTGTGCCAGTAGCAGAGCTCAAACAAGAGAAATGCCCTCGAGCCTGTGGTGCTGACTTATTAGAGCTTTTAGCTCACAAGAAGAGTCGAAGTGGCCGAGCCAAGGTCTTGGTGGTAGATATTCGACCATCTGATGAGTATCCTTTATTTCATTGCATTATTTTTGCCTCATGCTTTATTTATTTTTTACTTAATTTAATGTCTGTAGCAAATTATATTCAGTGGGTAAAATGAAAGGTGGTGGGATTGATTGGATCAAGAGAGAAATGCTAAGAGCAGGTGGAGATATAGTTTTGGAATAGTTAGTGCTTTTGTTCAATAATTGTGTGAAAGGGGGAAGATACCTAGGGATTGGCTGAAAATGTGATAGTTACTTGGTATAAAGGAAAAGGGGGGCAAAAATGAGTGCAAGAATATTATAGAGGAATAAGCCTGTTGAATATACCAGGTAAAGTGTAGGGTAGTTATTATTAAAAGAGTTAAGGGTAAGGTGGAAAGCAGGAATACAGATAAACAAGGAGGCTTTAGGAAGGGTAAGAGATGTATAGACCACATATTTACATTGAAGCATTATAAGTGAACAATATTTAGATAAAGGTAACAAAGTGTTTGTTCATTTATGGATTTGGAGAAGTCATATGGTATGGCTAATAGAGGAGCAATGTGGCAGGTGTGGCAAATGTATGGAATAGGTGGTAGGTTACTTAAAGCAGGTAGGAGTTTTATGAGAATGGTGAGGCTTAGGTTAGGGTATGTAGGAGAGAGAGAAGGAGATTATTTTCTAGTAAAAGTAGGCCTTAGATAGGGATGCATGTTATCACATGGTTGTTTAACATATTTGTAGTTGGGGGTTGTAAAAGAAGTGAATGGTAGGATGTTGGGAAGAGGTATGGAATTATCCCTTTCAGTGACCATCACATAGGATTACATCATTGAGGCCAGGGTCTCTCACGTAGTTCCATGTCATGAGCTCAGCTCACTCGGATAAACTGTGAGCCGTAAATTTTGGCCTAGATATGAGAGAATGGGTCTGTGTGATGAGTGTGCACTGTATATAAAAAAAAAAAAATCATGCCTCATGCAGTGCATGATGGGAAGAGCAAAACTGACCAAGTGAGTGATTTAAAGTTTACAATTTATGCAGTACATACATATGTATAGCATGTTGATCTAGATATATCTTATGATTTTAATTTTCCAAGGTAATGTACACCAGCTATATATATGGATTATGTTGTCGTGAGGTTGGACATTTGTGTATATTCTCTGCCTTTCTATGTATTATATCAGATGCCTTCTCCAACACCCCAACATGTTTACCCTTCTTGGATGCTCCTAGCTTGGAAAATAAGAATTATATTATATTATATTATACAATATACTTTTGTCTTTTTTTCTTTTTTTTAATAACTGTAACAGCTATTTTTTATAGGTAGTAGGTTGGTAGACAGCAACCGCCCAGGGAGGTACTACCGTCCTGCCAAGTGAGTGTAAAACGAAAGCCTGTAATTGTTTTACATGATGGTAGGATTGCTGGTGTCCTTTTTTCTGTCTCATGAACATGCAAGATTTCAGGTACGTCTTGCTACTTCTACTTACACTTAGGTCACACTACACATACATGTACAAGCACATATATACACACCCCTCTGGGTTTTCTTCTATTTTCTTTCTAGTTCTTATTCTTGTTTATTTCCTCTTATCTCCATGGGGAAGTGGAACAGAATTCTTCCTCCGTAAGCCATGCGTGTTGTAAGAGGCGACTAAAATGCCGGGAGCAAGGGGCTAGTAACCTCTTCTCCTGTATATATTACTAAATGTAAAAGGAGAAACTTTTGTTTTTCCTTTTGGGCCACCCCACCTCGGTGGGATACGGCCGGTGTGTTGAAAGAAAGAAGAAAGAACAGCTATTTTTCTACATACCCCTTATGAATGCAATTATCGATCCGGATATCGAACTCTTATTGAACTGCACACATAATCCAAACAGTACTGCCATTACTACACTGCTAGTCAGGCTAATGCCCTTCTCAGTGTCAGCAAGAACATTACAGTCTTCAACTACAATGTTAGATCATTGAGTAAGCACTATGATGACCTCATTGCACTATTTAAGTCTCTAAATGCTACTATAACTTTCATTATACTTACTGAAACCTGGCTCAAACAAGATTTGACAGACATATCTACCATACCTGGTTACACAGCCATACATAAGTGCAGGCCTGACCAATCAGGAGGAGGCACTGCCATCTAGTACTCTGATGAACTAGAATGTATGAAATCAACTAATGTATGGGATGAAAATGGTGAATATATAATAGCTAAATTCATATCAAGAACACTTAAGAAACCTATAACAGTTGGTGCAGTCTACAGACTACCACACTCAAATACTTACACTTTTAGCAGTAACTTGAGAAACATGATAATTGAGTCAGAGTTGAATAAACACCATTTGATACTAGCAGGAGACTTCAACATAAACCTTATCCAAGCAACTGACCCTCCAGTAGCTGATTTCACAAATGCTATGAACAATAGCTTGTTGCTACCCTCTATAATTAAGCCAACAAGAATCTCTGAGACAAGTGCCTCGTTACTTGACCATTTCTGGACCAACACGATATCCCCACAACAAGCAAGTATAATCACAGACAACACCACAGACCACTACCCTACCTTTCTCATAACCAACTTATCTAAACTGTCTCAAGAAGCAAGAAAGATCTCATTTCGCCTGCATGATGAAACATCAATAAATAACCTAAAACTAGCACTAGGTACCATTGATTGGCAGAGAGAGCTAGATGACAATAATAATATCGATAAATATATCAAAAATATTTTTACATAAAACCCTAAACCTCTATAACAAACATTGCCCAATCAAAATGAAACAGATCACAGAAAAAAGGCTAAACAGCCCATGGCTAAAAAAAAGTATCTTCCAATCTATTAATAAAAAACACCAAATTGAAAAAAGTTTATATTAGGCTTAATTACTAAAGAATATACTAAAAGATACACATCAATACTCACAGAACTAATACGTAAATCAAAGCAAATGTATTACAAAAATAGATTTAGCGAAATGAAAGGTAACATGAAAAGTACATGTACCTGGCAAACCCTCTCTAAAATTTTGGGCTCTTGGAAACCATCTGGAAATAGAGATAAACTTAACTAAACCAGATGAACCTCACATACAACCTATAGACACAGCTGACAAATTTAATGTCTTCTTCTCTACTGTAGGATCAAAGCTAGCAAGTCAAATTCCTAGCTCAAATACCCAGCTGAGAGAGTACCTCACTGGCAATTATCTAAATACTCTGTTTCTAGCTCCAACTAATCCCACTGAAGTCTCACTCATTATTAAATCATTAAAGAACAACTCAGGTGATCTAGATAACTTGCCACCATTCATATATAAAAAAGCTGCACCAGAACTGTCACCCATTATTGCAACAATGTTTAACAAATCTATAGCATCCTCAACCTTCCCATCTATACTCAAGACAGCAAGGGTCACCCCAATCCACAAAGGAGGAGATCCAACTGATTTGAGCAACTACAGACCCATATCAGACTTGCCCTTGCACCTCAGACTGAATCATTATGGCATAAGAGGACATTCTCTCGACTACCTAAAATCCTATCTTAACAACAGACACCAGTATGTACATGCAAATGGAGTCAACTCCGCTATCCAACCTGTAGCTGTAGGAGTACCCCAGGGTAGTGTCCTAGGCCCACTCCTCTTTCTCATCTACATCAATGATCTCCCCAGTGCATCCGAACTCCTTAAACCAGTTCTATTCACAGATGACACTACATATGTCTACTCCCGTTCAGACCCAACTGTGCTTGGAAACACTGTAAACAATAAACTACTAAAGATATATGCTTGGATGATGACCAACAAACTCACTCTCAACATAGACAAAACATACTTCATGCTGTTTGGCAACAGAGCCTCAAATATCCAACTCAGCATACTGTTAAATGGTTCCCCTATATCAAGACGCCCAGAGGGCAAATTTCTGGGTCTTCTCCTTGACTGTAATCTTAAATTTCAGTACCATACTCATCACATAGCCAAGAAAATTTCCAAATCAGTAGGAATCCTTTCCAAGATATGATACTATGTACCACAAACGACTCTCCTTACCCTGTACCACTCTCTAATATATCCTTACCTCACCTATGGTATTTGTGCCTGGGGCTCAACCACAACCAACCACCTTAGACCCTTAATAATCCAACAAAAAGCTGCTGTGCGGGTGATAACCAGCTCCCATGCTAGACAGCATACCCCACCACTTTTCAAAAGATTCAACTTGCTAAATATACAAGACATACACTCTTATTACTGTGCCTACTACATATACAGAACATTAAACTCCACTGTAAACCCTCCCCTAAAACTACTACTTGACAGTTACAACAGAATGCACAGGCACAATACAAGGCATAAGGCACTTTTCAACATCCCTCGAGTCAGACTCTCACTATGCAAGAACGCTATGCACATAAAAGGCCCGAAGATCTGGAACTCGCTACCAGAACAGGTCAAGGATCCCCTGACAGCTTATAAATTTAGGACTTTGCTAAAAAATCATCTTATCTCACAATATTAACCAAATCAACCAAACATCTGCTAACTAGTTTTATTATGTGACCTCTAGGGTCTTAATTCTGCCAATCCATAAAATCAACTTGTTTCTCAATATTAACCAAATCTGCTAAAACATTTGCTAATTAGTCTTATCATGTGAACTCCTGGCTTTTAATTCTACCATTCCATAAAATATTACCACCTGCACCATTACTTGTAAGGTAGATTTTGTACTAAGTTCAACCCTTAAACAGTCCAAACAAATCGACGTTCAAATTCGTAGTGCTACAAAAGTAGATCTACTTTTTTTTTAACATATTTTCATATGTAACAAAAAAAAAATGTAGATAAAAGTTTTTTTTTACACGTTTTCAAATGTAAAACAAAAAAGGAGATCTACATTTTTTTACGTGCTTTCAGATGTTGAAAAAACGTATATATACGTTAGGACCATTTAAGGGTTAAATAAGAGTGTATTAAGTTCAAATAAGATTGTAAAACAGCTAACCACTATTCCTTGTTTAGTTTTAAGTATAGTTACTATGTACTATTATCTTATCTAGTTTTAATTAGTTACTATGTGTTAGGATTAGTTTGGCCAAAATGCCTCAGCATGATAGTGGCTATCTTTGTACTTAGCAAATCAAAATTGTAATTACACATTGTAACCTTTACAAAGAAATAAACTTTACTTTACATTACAACAGTTGACTTACATGCAGGTACTTATATTTACTGCTAGGTAAATAAAGGCAACTAGTGTAGAGAGATTTTCCCATACATCTTGGCTTTCCTGAGAATGAACCCAGGACTTTAGGTTGTAAGACAAATGAGCAACAAGTCTTATGACTAGAAATAGTTTTACCCAGGTCTTAGCTTCACGATTAATGTAAAATAGTGCATTTACCATGTCTATGTAAATAAGTTTTACTTTTTCCAGCCTTTCAAAATTATAAAATTTGAAATTCTGTGAACATATTCAAACAAATCTGAAGTTGATTCTTCCACAGTGGAGGAAATTTGCTAATATGAAATTTCCTTAATTTTTGCAATCAGATTTGCCCATGGTACATTAGCAGATGCTATAAATTTACCTGCTGAATCTTCTATAACCCATGAAGGTTTGTTGGTTCCTGGACCCCAAAGTGATGTGCTTAATTCCTACCGTGGCAAAATTATATGTGTTATGGGTTCAAGACACAACTGGGAACATGTAATAAAGGTAAGTGATTGTTCAGTCATACATTAGTGATTTTTTTTTTTTTTTTTTTTTTGGCCAGTGCTGTATGACCCTGGTGGGTTTAATTTTTAAGAAAAGCTCAAAGAAAAATTTGTAGTCTATTATCTTCAGCTCTTCTGATGTAAATACATAATTTTTTAGTGATGTTTATTAACTGGTATATGTTCAACACTTTTGTTGGCGAGTCTCATGAACGGCTCTTTAAGAGTACACCTTACCTCATAAGTGCATATGAGGTGCCATTAAAAAGTTCCCAGACTGCTGCAAAGGAAAATATATAGGCTTGTTTAATGACCTAGTTGAAGTTGTGTTCCTCAAAGTAGTCTCCTTGGGAGGTTATAAATTGATCCCAGCACCTACCTGGAGTCTACCTAGAGGTGTTCTGGGGGTTAATGGCCCAGTCCTTGACCAGGTCTTGCAGTGGATTGGCCTGATCAACCAGGCTGTTACTGCTGGCCACACATAGTCTGGCCTCTGCCACTTATTGAAACATTCTGGAACTCTTCTTTCCTAATGGCATCTAGTGCCAGTAAACTTTGTATAGGATTGACAAAGCACCTAGTGGGTAATACATTTCCTTAATAGATGTACCAAGTGTTGCATGTGTCTTTACCCCACAGTCTGTTGTCTTTATAAGCTGAAGGGTTTAAATTCCAAAATTAACTGTTGATACTACATCCATTAAAAAATTTAGCAACCAGTGTGGATAATGCATTATCCAAAATACATATATATATATGCACTCAAAAATACATTGTAAAAATTATTCCTTACATGATACACACTCTTACAGTGTATAATATGTATATGTAATACTCACCAAATATGTCAGGTTAGTGGGAAGTATATTTTTGTAAGTGGCACATAATAAATGGATTGTTGCTCGCCGCAAGTGATGGGGGTGGTGTAAATTTAAGTCTGATTTAACTCTTAGTGCTAAAGAATACTAAAGAATACAGCAAAAAATTCACCTGCATTGAACACCTTTGGTGTGTAGGTTCTACTGTCAATAAAATAGTGTAATGTATTTGTTCACTTGGTGTAAAAATAAAATGCTCAGGAGGTGATAATCACTGTATGCCAATAAAAGTAACTGAGTACCTCCATCCCTTGATGTATATATTGTGCTTTTCTTTATCAGTACAGAACAGAACAAGCCATTTTCATTTAACACCTGAAGTGTGCAGGCACCTTTTCGAAGTATTTGTAGCATAATAAAATCCTGCATGTATTCATTTGGTTAATAACTGTTAAGCATGAGCAGTGATGACTATTATTTCCCCCAACAATGGTAATATTTGAATTCTGGCACATTGGCAATCTGGACATATGATCCAAAACTACTGAAGCATATTTGTGGATCCATCTATAATAACAAAGTATGAATAGATTGGTGATACACAAATTGCAAAGTTGCAAATATAGAGGTCAGTACTGCTATTGAACATTGAGTTGTATCAAGGTGGCTTTTGAGCAGGCATAAAATGACTGTTTAGGTTTTATCTTTTTGTGTGTTGCATAAGCTTACCAAACATTTTTATGTAAAGAGATACAGTATTCTAATATACACCTTTTGTTGAGTATACTGTAATATAATTTCTCAAATACATTAAACCCTTGATTTAACAAATTTTGATTTAACGGTCATACAGCGCTGTATGACCCTAGTGGGTTTAGTGCTTGGTTTTGATTATGCTACCTTCATATATTATTATTATTATAGTATATTATGATACACAGATTTTTAGTATAGCAGCAAATTATTTCATCTTGGTAGTGCCTTGAAACTTTTATTTTAAGAATCTTAACTTCTTCAAAAAGTCATTGTAATTTATTTAGTCAGATTTATTTAAAATTTTATATATTGTTTCTAAAATTAATTTATTTCAGTTTGCAGAGAGCCTTGTGGCACAAGAATTTCCACGAGTGTGTACACTACATCAAGGTGTGGAAGTATTTCGTGCCTCTGGAGCATTAGTTGTGCCATCCTGAACTTTGTTACTTTCATTTCAGTGTAATGAGAAAGTGTATGCAAACTAGTTATAAAGTAAGTTAAGTATTTATTGCATGTATTATGGTTAAACAAAATTTTGTCATCTATACTATTGTATATTACTTGAGCATTATGATTTTTTTCCTTGTTAGTGGAAAAATATAATTTCTTCTGCTAGAAAACATACAGTGGACCCTTAGCTAACGATGGCATCAGCTAATGTTAAATCCGGCCAACGATACATTTTAACGCAAAAATTTTCCCTTAGCTAATGCTAAAAAACTCGCCCAACGCGATTCGTTCGAGACGCGTCCACGTGTGGCCTGAGCCCACCTCAGTTGTCCCGTGGGGTGCCAATGTTTACAAGCCAGCAAGTGCTGTCGCATCCACACACACAATCGGAACATTTCATATTATCACAGCGTTTTTAGTTATTGTACCTGCAAAATAAGTCACCATGGGCCCCAAGAAAGCTTCTAGTGCCAACCCTGCAGGAAAAAGGGTGAGAATTACTATGGATATGAAGAAAGAGATAATTGCTAAGTACGAAAGTGGAGTGCGTGTCTTGGAGCTGGCCAGGTTGTATACCAAACCCCAATCAACCATCGCTACTATTGTGGCTAAGAAAACGGCAATCAAGGAAGCTGTTCTTGCAAAAGGTGCAACTTTGTTTTCGAATAAGAGATCGCAAGTGATAGAAGATGTTGAGAGACTGTTATTGGTGTGGATAAACGAAAAACAGATAGCAGGAGATAGCATCTCTCAAGCGATCATATGTGAAAAGGCTAGGAAGTTGCATGAGGATTTAATTAGAAAAATGCCTGCAACTAGTGGTGATGTGAGTGAATTTAAGGCCAGCAAAGGTTGGTTTAAGAGATTTAAGATTCGTAGTGGCATACATAGTGTGATAAGGCATGGTGAGGCTGCCAGTTCGGACCAAAAAGCGGCTGAAAAATATGTGCAGGAATTCAAGGATTACATAGACAGTGAAGAAATGAAACCTGAACAAGTGTTTAATTGCGATGAAACAGGCCTGTTTTGGAAGAAAATGCCAAACAGGACCTACATTACTCAGGAGGAAAAGGCACTCCCAGGACATAAGCCTATGAAAGACAGGCTTACTCTCTTGATGTGTGCTAATGCTAGTGGTGATTGCAAAGTGAAGCCTTTATTGGTGTATCACTCTGAAACTCCCAGAGTGTTCAGGAGAAACAATGTCCTCAAGGCTAATTTGTGTGTGCTGTGGAAGGCAAACAGTAAGGCATGGGTCACTAGAGACCTTTTCTATGACTGGTTACACCAAGCATTTGCCCCCACTGTGAAATATTACCTCCTGGAAAATAAATTAGACCTGAAGTGCCTCCTGGTATTAGACAATGCTCCTGGTCATCCTTCAGACTTGGCAGAGTGACTTTCTGGGGACATGAGCTTCATTAAGGTGAAGTTTTTGCCTCCTAATACCACTCCTCTCCTGCAGCCCATGGACCAGCAGGTCATTTCAAACTTCAAAAAACTCTACACAAAAGCTACGTTTCGAAAGTGCTTTGTAGTGACCACAGCAACTCGATTGACTCTAAGAGAGTTTTGGAGAGATCACTTTAGCATCCTCAATTGTGTAAACATTATAAGTAAGGCTTGGGAGGGGGACTAAGAGGACCTTGAACTCTGCTTGGAAGAAACTGTGGCCAGAATGTGTAGACAAAAGGGATTTTGAAGGATTTGAGGCTAACCCTGAGAAGTGTATGCCAGTTGTGGAATCAATTGTGGCATTGGGAAAGTCCTTGGGGTTGGAGGTTAGTGGGGAGGATATGGACGAGTTGGTGGAGGAGGACAATGAAGAACTAACCACTGATGAGCTGCAAGATCATTGTTATGGGGCTATAGGACCCAACATGTATTTATGTATCTGTAACAGTTACTCTGGAATACCTAATTATATTGAATTGATGGGGACTCAGCTCTAAATGTCATAAGGGCAGATCACTCTTATGGCTGTAAGGCAGCTGAGTCAAGCCTGTTTTTCTCAATATAATAGGTTATACTATAGGCACACACACACACAATTTAAATAAGTAGTTTATAAAGTTGTATTTCTTTTTGTAACAGTAAAATAAGGTGTGGTAGAATTGTGGTAACTAGAGAATTGTGCTTGACAACAGTCTTTTGTTTTTTGGTGGGTGTGGGAGGAGCTTAGATAGGCTCCTCTCTCTCTTGGTGGACTTCAAGCTGGCAGGACCTCTGGGTCCTTCTTCTATTTTTGGGGGGCATTATGTGAGCTCCAGGGGTGAGTTTTATAACTTAAGTTGTGGCCACCATACCCAGGGTGACTAAAGTGTGTCAAAACACTGGTTAGCCCAGAGTATAGTCCAGAAGAGAGAAGGGCAAATTGTTGAGATGCACCATGTGGACTGTCCTAGGAAAACAGCTAAGGGGTGTGCAGGCTTATGTTTTGAATATGTGAGTGCTGTAATTGTATATTCTGTACATATCTATTTAGAATACAGTTATATTTTTTTATAGAGGTGGTTTAAATAACCTGTGAAGAGGGCTGGTGAAAGGATATCAGAGACACTGAGGATGATCAGTCAACATGTATGTATTACCCTAGACTACTAAGGCCTTTAGGTAAAGGCTACCCCACACTAGAACATGTAGTGAGAACCTTACTATCAAAGTAATAAGGGACAACAACACATAAAAATCATCTTCAACAGCAAGAGGCCAGACCTGAGGAAACTGCTTCGGAGGAGGGGATAGAGAAATTGAAGAAGTTGCCTTCCTCAAAGATTAAGGAAATGTGTGCAAAGTGGCTTGAAGTGCAAACGTTTTTTGATGAAAATCACCCTCACACAGCTATTGCAAGCCATGCTGGTGACTATTACAATGACAATGTTGTGAAACACTTTAGAAATGTCATAAAGGAACGGGAGGTACAGGCCTCTATGGACAACTATGTTGTGCGACAGAGGTCCAGTGACTCTCAAGCTGGTCCTAGTGGCATTAAAAGAAGGGAAGTAACCCTGGAAAAGGACTTGCCACCTCAAGTCCAAATGGAAAGGGATTCCCCTTCTAAACACTAACACCATCAACACTCTCCCCTCCTCCCATCCCATCAGTCATCACCAGATCTTCAATAAAGGTAAGTGTCATGTAACTGTGCATGTCTTCTTCAGTTTGTGTGTATTAAAATTAATATTTCATGTGGTAAAAAAATTTTTTTTGTTCATACTTTGGGGTGTCAAGAACGGATTAATTTGATTTCCATTATTTCTTATGGGGAAAATTAATTCGCCTAACGATAATTTCGCCTAACGTTGAGCTCTCAGGAACGGATTAATAGCGTTAGGCGAGGGTCCACTGTACATTATATACAGTATTGGTCTCTCAGGCCCCAAATGTTAGTAGGAAAAGAAAAAAATTAGAAAAGAAAAGAAAAAACTATAAAAAACGTAAAATAAAGTAATGCGTGTATGTGGAAATCGTCGATGTTGCCGCCACCCAGTCATTTTGGTTCAACTTCTCGGCACTGTATCTCGGTAAGTACTGATCAGAATTTTTTTTTTGGTTTTATTACCTTCACAAAAATGTACTCTTTAATTCTGTAAGAAAAAATAATTTTTTTTTTTTTTTTTTTTCAAAATTTCTTGGACACTGGGGCACCCCTTCCAATTTTGGCCTTGGACCCTGAAAGGGTTAATGTGTACCTGCACACCAGCATGTGTAAGTTTATTTAGGTACAGGTACACCTAAGTATAATTATCAGAGTACAGTGGACCCCTGGTTTACAATATTACTTCATTCCAGAAGTATGTTCAGGTGCCAGTACTGACCGAATTTGTTCCCATAAGGAATATTGTGAATTAGATTAGTCCATTTCAGACCCCCAAACATTCACATACAAACGCACTTACATAATTGGTCGCATTGGGAGCTGATTGTAAACCGGGGGTCCACTGTATATATAAAACATGAAATAACTTTTAAACACTTGAAATTTTGGAAAGTTTCCAGACATAATGGAGAGTTGTGCTTACGGAGAATGTTAACAAACTGCATGGGGCGCGGTGACCATATTAGAAAGTCGAGTGGGGGAGTCGTATAGAGAGTTTTCGTCATAATTTGAAATGTCCATATTAGCAGAAAATCAAAGTGGAGGCCCTGTTGTATTTCCTTTGAAATGTAATTTTTTTGTAAATACTGTTACTGCTAGTACTATGCCTTGCGAGATTATGTAATCTTGTCTAGGTACTCTATTGGTTATATTGTATCTGTAGATTATTTTGATAATTATGTTGTATCAAATTTATGAGTAGATCTGATATTTATATTAATAAATTAAAATACTATTATTCAGTATTAGAAAAGAAGCCCCAAACCCACATGGGTCAATGAAATAGCTTGTAAATACAGTTATTTGACATTTGGGTCTAACATTATCATTCCAAATACATTATACTGTAATTAAGAATACATATTAATATGTTTTTTTAGTTATTGCAAGATAGTTGCTACATAATTTTTTGTGTAAAGATTTTTCTATTTTAATCTTATTTAACAAAGGTTAGTTCCTGAATATCCCAGACAAGCCATTTGGTCATTACATTTTTATATGAAATTACTGTACTGTATTAATAATGTATTAATAATTATTTTATTCGCAAAAAGATATAACCCATTCAATATATGAGCAGTTGGAAAAATATGGTAGGATGCAGCAATTTTTTTTTTTTTTTGGCAAAGCCCATACTTTGCTTATCTTTTTAAGAAAACTATATAATAATATTAGATTTGGTAAGTAAGACATATAGGCATCTTTATTCCAAAACGTTTCACCTACACAGTAGGCTTCTTCAGTCGAGTACAGAAAGTAGGGCAGGAGCAGTAGAGATGTGAAGATGATGTAATCAGTCTATCACCCTTGAAGATGTAGATTTGAGGTTGTCAGTCCCTCAGCCTGGAGAAGAATTCTGTTTCATAGTCTGAAACAATGTTAGATTTACTTAGTTTGTAAAATTTGAAGTAAAAAAAAAATGTA